TGTGAATGGGTTCTCTTCCCAACTGCTCAGTTGAGCTGCTTATGAAACCTAACCTCTAACTGGAAAAAGCCACTTCCAATATTTTGCCAAAGGCAGTCTTCTAAACCCAATCCTAAGCAGAGTTGATTTCTGCCGAGGACAAAGGCAGCCAACACCCTCGGTCAGTCCACATGAACTAGGCAAGGTTTGAACATTTATTCCAGCCCTAGGATTCCTGGCAGCTCAGAAGGGAGGCACCAGTCAAGTTAGCTGGGAAGGGAGGGAATACAACACTGAATCCTAGTGGAGCAAGAAAACAAAAAACAGTATCAGCCTTGATCTGTTTTCCTGTTTTCAACTTCAGATGCCTTTGGCTTTTTCTACTGTGTCCCACATTTTTAAGCAGATGCCAATATCAAGAGCATTAGGCTGATCTGGTGGAAACCAAAATAAATGCTATTCTTCAACTACTTTAAATAAAAAACTTGTTCTGCTTTAGAAAACTATTTCCCTATAAGTTTCTGTGTATTTTTGGCTGCTATGAATCCATGTCCTCCAGATCCTTGATCCTTGTGTGCAAAGGAGAGTTAACTGAATACCCTGGGGCTATGTTTCTTCTGGTTTTGGAGAATGGCTAGTGCGTGAAATTTAACAACCCTTCATATACAGGTAGTCTAAGAGTCCTTTCTGGCTTCAAACTGTATGGGCATTCAGTTTTAACTTCAGCTACACCAGTTTTGTTACGTATAATATCACCGGCTTGGGTCCTGATTTAAACCCGTTCACACAAAATCAGATTAATACCTGTCACTTCTTACTGAAGTAATACTGCAAATCCTCCTAACTTCCAACAGCTATAGTGACAGAAGCTGAGGCATCGGGTTTCTTTTTCCCTGGAGTGAAAGATCAATTTAACTAAAATCCTAAAAATTTATTAGCATCAGATAAACTGAATGAACCACTATAAAAAAAGAGCTCATCTCAGAAGTCCCAGAAGTTGCCTAACAGCATACATTTTCTGACCATTTGGCTCCTCAACTCTGGCAAATATAGACATTTCTCAAGGAAAATACTGCTATTGCCATGAACCTTTGTATTTCCTGTGCATTGGGGATTTTTGTTTTGAGACTTAATGGTTCATGTGTGTTAGGGCAGAGGAATATTATATTGATTACATGTGGGTATCCTGATAGCTGGACCACTTCTAACTCTGAAGCTAGTTTGTTTGCATGGAGATGTCTGTGCACCTTGGCACAGCTTATCATGGATAATTCCTCTCACCTCCATTTAGAGCATCCTGCAGGAGCTGTCTCCACCTGAGCCAGCTATCTGACCCCTTTGTAGACAGTAGAAAGAAACAGGCACTTCTAGTATGTAATTCACGTGGTCTGTTTTATAGACCCGCCTTCCAGATGAGTTGCACTCCACAAGTGCTTCTTGCTTTCTCTATATCACTGCAAGCATCTTAAAAGATTACCCGAGATGTAGGTGCCTACATTGTAGGCTGTCTGAAGTTACTCTTTTTGCGGCAAGCATAATAAAAATGCTTTTCCTGGGCAGCACAGCACCTGGTCCAAATTCAGTAGCACACACAAATCTGTGTGACAGTCTTCAGCAAAAATCACAAGCTAACAAAAATAAAGATGGGCTCATGAGTGTGATGGACACTGGACACAAGCAGTAGCAATAGATTATTTGAACTCATCTGGTAATTTGTAGACCCTAGAGTATTCTCCCAGGCCAGTTTCACACCAGTGTAACTCTTTCAAATTACTCCTGATTTACATTACATTAACTAAAAAGACAATTAGATCCCGGCTGTGCAAAATGCATGTCCACTGTATGCCATGGGAGCTGTGACTATAGGAAAACCCAAAAAATAGGCAAGATACAGGCAAACTTCAGCTCTGAGAAATACATATTGGGATTCAGAACTGCATACATAACTGTGGCACAATAACCTAGGCAGACCAAAACAGATTTTATAACATCTGAGCTAGATGTACCTTCTGAGGAGACAGGCAGGCTTGTGGTCTGGGAATCAAGGCTGAGATTGGGAAGCTAAGACCTCTCCTAACGGCTGGGCCTCAGATGCAGTACAGTTGTGAACGAGAGTGATGCAATCTCTGTTTCACACTCCCCACCTGTACAATGGGCTGAGTCGCAGCTTACTTCACTGCAAGGCATACAGATACATCCAGTCATTACCAGGCTCAAAGGACTGGCAGTTGCCATTAGGTAGGCACTCCATTATTAAACGTTATTATGCACGTAACCTAAAACCAAGGATTCGTGCAAAGCATTTCCCAACAGTGGTTATGACAAGAGTAAATCAACTAAGCTACAGCAGTAGAAATGATGGGATATCACTGCCCCCTGCTCTGCTGTTTCACAGTCCTTCATGCAATTTATAGCTGGGGGTAGCGGGAGGAGGCTCAGAGTCCGTGCTGGCCCCTGCAATCCATGCCACGGGGGAGGCAGCGCGAGGATGGGCGAACGTAACTCAGTCAGTTCTGGGGATAGCACAGGAACTTAATGAATGAACTTAAAAGACTTCGGTTCAATTTAAGGAACAGACAGGTTGAAGATCACAGTGCTGCTCTGGGGAAGGCAGAAATGCAGTACGGTTAATTTGAAACTAACTGAACAGTGAAGTTTAAGAACTCTAATACTTTATGCTTGCAATTTATATTTAAATAAACTGTAAATTGAACTTCTCCTTAAAAAGAAGAAAGCAGTTTTTCTGCTTCACTTCCTATGTGTCATTACTCCTTTAGTCCAATGCTGCAGTTCCCCACTAATCTCTTGTAATTGAAGGGTTTAAGAGATACCACTTGCGATTAATGGGAACACTCAGTCTGCCAGAAATTCTTATTTGAATCCCAGTGATCAGGCCTTGGCAGCGCCCAGCCTTAGACGGCTGTTTCCACAGGGAAGCATGAAAGCAGTCTCTTGAGACATGCTCTGTTGGTAAAACAAACAACCTGGGCCTAATTTTGATCTGATTTTACACTCATGCCAACCTGGCTGAACTGAACAAGAACTACCCTAGCTTAAGAGTGGAGAAAGAGAATAAAAGGAAAGGTCACTTGTGCTCTGCATCATTACTGTGCCTCTTCTAGGCTGTAACTTCACCTCTTAATTCTGCTTATGCTGGAAGCACTTTTAATATATTTTCCCCTGTGAGGCCACAGGATTGCATTTGACAGCTATTCAATCCAACAGGACCCCCATTTACTTTTCTGGATTGCAGTTCCTGCCTACAAAGAATTGTTCTGTTCTTGAATGAGTTTTACAGCCATTGAATTTCACAATATTATTCCTGATGTGCAATGCCACAAATGAAAGCACAATCAGAGCTGCACTGTTTAGGTTTCCTCAACAAGGTGTCTTTGTGTTTTTGTGTATTTATTTTATACATATATATGTGTGTATTTAAATTATATAAACTATTTTTAAAAAATTCATACACATTTTTCTGAATATATATATAAAAAATTTAGATACATTTTTCATAAACTCATCTCTAAATTGTAACTATTGGC